GGGGGTGGGGGTGCGTGTACGTGTTTGTGTTTGTGTGGACACATGTATTTATTTCTCATTCAAGTCTTTAAACTCAGTATTTGTGTCCCTATTCATCTCGGGTTGGTACATATGCTAAGGGTTAGGGCGCCCCGGCTCTTAATCGATCAAATTGTTTTGATGGGGCATAAAAATCCAAAGTCAAATCAATCACTTAACGAATCCAAAGGTAGGTTGGGAATTTAACGAACGCACATGGTACATTGTGAACTTCCCCGACCAAATTGCAGACTATGAACTTTACGCAAAGTCAAGATAGATTGTGAACTTAGGCAACCAAAACTTTAGATTTTCTTGAGGCACGGTGTTTGCCTCTCAGTCAAAAGGTTTCGAAATCGATACCTGCCAGCTACGAAAAAAATAATTTTCCCTTTAATTTTCTTTTGTGCCCTCCATTCCTGTTCACTTGTCTTGTTCTGTGAACTGTTTTCCTCTTCCCTCCCCACCCCCCCCCCCTTTTTTTTTCCTCCAGCCCCTTTGCTCCTCTATCCCTTACTCCTCAACACTTCTGCTGATACTTCTACAGGCTTCTTCTTACCGCTGTCTTTTAGCCAAACCCCCAAGCTTAAAGTAGTTAAGATAGAACACCTAACCTGCTCAGATATCCGGGGAAAATCTCGGAGGTCCTCTGTGCACATTGCGCACGTTAAAGAACTCTTGATGGTCCTAAAATCGGTAAGAATAGTCGCACGAAAAAAACCAAAAATCATTTCTACCAAAACTGATGGGTTTAACGCCTCTATCGACACCTTTGGGTTATTTAAGAGGAAGGACCTTTGAGTTTCACGTCCATCTTCGAAAGGACCAAGCCAAATGGGAATTTCAGGTAAAGTGCCTTAACCAAAGACACAACGTCGGACCGAGCTGAGGCTTGAACCCATGAAGCTGCAACCTCACGATTACGAGCCTAACCATTAGGTTACCGACGCCACTCTACTAAAACTGAATAATATACTCTAGTAAGTATAAAAACATAAGAGTACCTTCAAAACTGGAATGTGGCTGCCTGAAGCAAGGGGCCCTACAAATTAGACAAATCGGTCACGTTTGTAAAAATCCGTTGCTCAGTCGACCACCTCTAAGATCTAGCAGAGGATCGCAAAGAAGAAAGGAGACAGTAGAATTGGGAACTGAACTAAATTTCGTGCAAAACTGTGAAATTAACCAACCCAAACGACGGGAAGGTGATCTTGATTAACCAATTCACATAGTGGGATTTTGAAACTACCAAAATGCGAAAGTTGCGGTTCAAAATTTGAGTGTGGTCTCTCCCACGACAGCCC